CTGCGCGACCTGAAAGACGACAAGCGGCAGTCGCAGGCAGAAGCGCGCCAGGCAGAGACACTGGAGACGCTGAAAAGAGTGTACCCCGGTGTTCGTGGCCGCCTCGTAGATCTGTCCAAGCCGATCCAACGCAAGTACAACAAGGCCGTGACCGTGGCGACTGGAAAGCACATGGATGCAATTGTGGTACAGTAACAGACTACAGGACAGGCCAAGACTGCATTCAGTATCTCCGTGAGTCCCGTGCAGGTAGCGGGCAGTTTATTCCTCTGGATAAGATCCGTGTAAAGCCTATCAATGAGCGCTTTCGTGGTCTGGGCTACAATATCAAGATGGTCGTCGACGTGATTGAATGCGACGCGGAGATTGAGCCGGCGTTGCACTATGCAGTTGGTGATACTGTTGTATGTGACTCTATTGACATCGCCCGGGACCTGTGCTTCCATCAGAACGAGAAGGTGAAAGCTGTGACATTGGACGGAATGGTGGTGAGCAAGAACGGCAGTATGACGCCAAGAATGACGTGCGTCGGGCTGGCCGCTGGGATGAAAAGGAGGTGGGGGCCTTGCAGCAACAAAAAGATGATCTCATCGACACAATCCGCGCAATGGAGCGGCATGGTGCTTCGTACGCAAAGTTGCAATCGTCACGGACACAACTGGAGGGGTTGAGAAGCCGACTCAGTCATGCTAAGGCAGACTTGGTGATTACTGAAACAAAACGACCAAAGATTCAAGCGCGAATTGATGAGGCCAAGAAGCGAATGGCCGAGATCATCGAGCCTGAGCTTCAGAAATATGAAGGGGCGGTCAGCTCTCGTAAGGGTAGCATTGCGGCGTTGCAGGAGCAAATCAATGGGGTAGAGGACGAAATGTTTGCAGATTTCAGCGAGGCTGTTGGTGTCGAGAGCATTCGAGTCTATGAGGAGAAGGTGTTGAAGCGACACCACAAGGCAATAGAGATGCGGCGCAAAATTACGGAGCATGAAGCCAAACTCCGTGCTCAGGTAATGATTTGGCGGTGCCTTGTAGTCGATTTATTGATGTTCTAACACAGTACCGTTGTATTGTTTTGGCTCAGATCGAGTACTTGCAGTCGCAGGATTTCAATCAACCCATGCTCGACGCAAAGGAGAGGGCAACTCGGGAAGCCGAACACCTGAAGCAATGAGCTGAAGAGGAAACCGGCTTGATGCAACGAGTGGCAGCGTTGCAGAAGGAAAGGAAGGAGCAAGAAGGACTACGCAAGAACTTGTCAGCAAAGGTGGAGGAGCTTGAGAAGGAGCTTCGGGAAATCGGCAGCAAGAAAGCCAAATACGAAGAAAGAAAGGGCAAAATTCAAAGAAGAATTGCTTCGGAGGAGATCGTACTGGAGCGCCTGAAGGATCACAAGACGGGGATTTTTAAGCGGGCGTCGCTGGATCAGGTCACACTACCAACTATTGCTTATCAATCCTCAAACGGCACCGAAGATGTCGAGATGGAAGAAGCCAATGCGACCGGTGTGCCGTCAAATACGAGCAGCTCAGCTGATCATGACAGCCTCGAGAGCTCAGATCTACTCGCAACGAACCAAGAAGTGGGTTTCTCGGCGCTTCCTGATGCGCATGTGGTGATGGATGATAAGGAGTTTGATGAGATCAACACCAAGTACGAAAAGCGCATCGGTGTGCTGCTCACTGAGCTGGAGCGTATGAAGCCAAACATGCGCGCGCTGGACAAATTCGACGTGATCCAGAACCGGATTGGGAAAGAGGAGGAGGAACTGGATCGTATCAAGCAGACGTCATTTGAAACAGCGACCAAGTTCGAGGAGGTCAAGCAAGCTCGCTTCGATCGATTCATGGAGGCGTTCAACCACATTTCCGGAGTGATCGACTCGACGTACAAGCAGCTTGCGAAGAGCTCCAAGCACCCTCTGGGAGCCACGGCGTACTTGAATCTGGAGAACGCCGAGGAGCCCTACCTGAACGGAATGAAGTACAATGCGATGCCCCGATGAAGCGCTTCCGCGAGATGGAACAATTGTCAGGTGGCGAGAAGACCGTTGCTGCTCTAGCTCTCCTCTTCGCGATCCACAACTACCGTCCGTCTCCATTCTTCGTGCTCGACGAAGTGGACGCCGCACTGGACAACGCGAACGTGAACAAGGTGTCGACGTACATTGCCAATTGCGACTTCCAGTGCGTGGTGATCTCGCTAAAGGACTCATTCTACGAGAAGGCTGACGCGCTCGTCGGCGTCTGCAAGAACATCACGCTGCAACAATCCAAGTCGATGACGCTGGATCTCACCAAGTTTGACTAACTCGACGTCGCTATGGAAGGCAGTGGTGCTGAAAGGGGTCAAGGACTGACTTATTATTTTCGCATGGGCTGCATACCGCCTACGGTGCTGTAGGGATGCAGCTTTTCAATCGATGACGAAGTTATAACGCGGTGTGCTTTCTTACTTGGAAGTACTACTTTTAGTCCCTTGGTAAGTTTTCAATGATGAAGACTTAGGCCGTTCCTAGTGACCAATGAATCATTGGCAGTGAAACAAAGTCGTGCTGCACCCTAAGAGGCTCTGGAATTTAGGGATAGGCCCTATCCCAGTACTAACAGTAAGCAAGAACACTTGAAAAATCCCAAAGACTGTACAGCAGAATTAAACAGTTCTCAACTTCACACCCATTGTTGAGCTTTGCATTTGCGATTATCACGTAAGAAATGCAGCACTTGTGTCAACGCAGTTTCAACACGAGCACATCATCACGTGGTTCTTGTAGCCTTACCACTCCCATGTGGTTTGTATGAGTCAGTCACCATCTCACTACCCCTGTCAACGACGTCAAGCTAATTCCACGCTCTTCGAGTTTCGGGCCGCAGATCCCTTCGCCTCTACCATGAAAGAAGTCTCCATAACCACCAGCCGACGAAAAGTCGTACTATTGGTTTGCAGTCTGGACAACGTCCACTGAGGGTTTCGCAACAACAACTGCCTCTAGCGTCCTTTCTAGCTCGTCGATACCGGCAATCCCGAAAAACTCGCCACGATTACCTCGCGTAGATAAATCCAGCAGAATAACCTCATCGATGCCCGCGCGGTCGTCCTTCGAGTCTTCAGTCGAATATACGGCAAATTTGGCGCCTTGAAACGTTTCATTGTGGAAGGTGTAGGCCGTTGCACACAAAATGAGAACGTTCAGTCGGGGAAGCGAGGACTTGGGCAACTGCAGGCACACCTTGCTAAACTTCTTGCACTCCTCACGTATGGTTTCCCCCCCGACCTTGCTGGACTTGGCATAGTTTTTAACGGCGAGTCCAACTGTTACCATGGTACCTGACGACATCGTCATCAGCAGGATGTCGGGCGAAGATGACTTCGGAAGCGGCTTCAGGCTCAATTGTCCGTTTTCGAGCGCAAGGCCGTGGATCTCCATCAGCAACGCCTTCAAATCTCCCGGATGCGCGGTGGCTTCGGTTAACGACGACTGCTTCTTTCCCTTCGATGTTACTTGCGGCATTTCATATGTGATCTTCGCGAACTTCACCTTTGTGCGCCCAAAAGATGTATCTGCGAAAAATTCGGAGAGTACGTCGCTCGGACGTTTCTCCTCGTCAAAAACCTCCTGGAACCGCGTCATGCAAAGCAGCTCGAACTCGTCAGGATGATCGATTGCCACCCGACCAAGTGCTGGTGCAGCTCTTTCAAGAAGTTCTCTGAACGGGTAGAAGGAACTTAGTGCCGCGTGCTGGATATGTTGTGGTATATGCAGCCTCGCCGTCTTCGATTCTCCTTCCCATGCGATTCCAAACATATCCACAATGGCGTCGTATGTGATTTCTTTGCCGCCCTGGTCTCTCCACCTTTGTCCTAGGTCTAGTGCTTCGTCAGCGAGTAGAGCAGTCATCAAAAATCGAAGTGGCTCCTTGAAATTCCGCAAGCGTTCGCCAAACCGTTGCCAGTTCGTTCTTTCCACCAACTGAAAAGGCGCATCATACGAGTTAAGTTCCTCAACGGATTGGCAAACTTTGAAAGCGCGAAGTAGTGATCGTGGATGTCCGAATGTTGTCTTGAACAGATGGTCAGCACTCTTCTTCACTTCGCCATCACTGAGATTAAAGTGCTGCTGAATGGTTTCCGTCTTCCCCTTGTCCCAATACGTCGTCTTAATAATTTCCTCGATTGCAGGTGACCGGAGAAGATTGAGGCTGAGTCTTTGGAAATCGACAGGGCTGTTTGTCATTTCAACGCATGCGGTTGGTCTCAAACCGACGTAGCTCAGGAACGTTGCGCGACAGCAATCAAGAAAAATAACTTCTTGTTGGGAAACAACGGCCAAAGGGTCTGTGTGCAGAATTCCACGAAGCATTCTCGTTTGGCGATGTCACCAAGCTTGACAGCGTCGAAGGCCGCGCCGATTTCGTCGATCACGATGAACAGTGGCCCAACTTCTTTCGTCAAACGTTTGAAGACTGACA